TTTAGCACACTAACAGTTATTAATACGTGCTCAATAAAATATTTTTTTGCCAAAAAATGGGGTGGAATAAGGCTGTGTGAAACTGGCTTGCAGAATATGCCCTTAGGATATTTAAATGAATATATATTTTTTGTTTTGTATATGTACATCAAATATTTTTGCTTTGTTCATTTGTCAAATATAAGATGTAAAAGGGAAGTCACTGGGAGGAAGTAGGATAACTGTTGTTGAAGGGAGGGGATTGTAATCATTGAGAGGAAGCAAAGCGTATAATTTGTTGAATATAAACTTGATCTTCTCTCTTAACCTTCACTAAATTCACAATAAAATTTTTTTTAAATGGGATGGAAGCATATTAAGAAGTTAAATTGGAAAAAGATGTGTGCTAGATATATTTACAACACTGACAGATAAAAGATTTTATTTAAAATAAGAACCTCATGGGATTTAGTTTCTTGGTTTAGACTCATAGTTTTATGGGGCATCTCAGTTAAGTGGCCTAATAACATGTTTAGTGTTTCTGTTCTTCCTCCCAATTTGACATGTAGTGCCTGAAGTCTTATAAGTTTGCAAATGATCCTCCAAGGCACAAAAATTGGTCTCAATTCACCTGGAACAACAGAGGAAGAAGAAGAGCAGGAACAGGAGAAGACTATGGAGGAGTCCTGGTGGGCCATTGTAGCATAAACACTGGGCTGCTCACATCAAGGTCAATGGTTCAAACTCACCAACTGCTTTTTGGAAACCCTATACAGTGTTGTTAGGAGTTGGAACCAACTGCCAGAACAAATGGATGGTGTCTAGCTACCTTTACTGAATATTTAAATTTAAGATTCCATAGAAAAATCTTGATCAAAACATGGGAAATACAGAATAGAACTTCTAGTTTCATGGAATCTAGACTTTCCAGAGTCAAGAAGGTTGAACGAACCCTTAAAACTATTATCCTGAGATACTTTTTATACCTTAGACCACAAGTAAGACTTCTTCTTCTTGTTACTTAAGTGCCGTCAAGTTGGTTCCAATTCATTGTGACCCTGTATAGGGTTTCTGAGGCTTTAAATCTTTGAGGAAGCAGAACGCCTCATCCTTCTCCTGCAAAGTGGCTGGCAGGCTCAATCCTCGGACCTTATGGTTCACAGTCCAGTGTTTACTGTATGGAGCCACCACGCTGAAGAAAAATTTAAATCTTAAACCAAAAATTGTTGTCATTGTTAAGTGCCATAAAGTCGGTTCTGACTCATAGTGACCCTGTATAGAGCTTCCAAGGAGTAGCTAGTGAATTTGAACTGCCGACCTTGTGACTCAAAGAATCTTACAGTCCAGTGCTTATCCTATAGCACCCCACCAGGTCTCCTTAAAATCAATGACTTTTGTTAGGTACCATCAAGTTGATTCCAACTCATAATGTACAAAACATTGCCCAATCTTGAGCCATTCTCATACTCACTGCTGTACTTGTGCTCATTGTTGTAGCCACTGCATCAATCCATCTTTTTGATAGTCTTTCTCTTTTTCCCTAACCCTCTATTTTACCAAGCATGCTGTCTTTCTTCAGGGACTGGCCCTCCTGATTTGTTGTTGTTGTTGTGTGCCGTAGAGTCAATGCCAACTCATAGTGACCCTATATAGGGTCTCTGAGGCTTTTAGATCTTTGCTGGAGCAGAAAGTTTCATTTTTTCTTCCACGGAACAACTGGTGGGATTGAACTGGGGACTTTGTGGTTCATAGTCCAGTATTTATCATATGGAACCACTGTGTTCCTTGGTCCTCCTGATAATATGTCCAAAGTATCTGAGACAAAGTCTCACCATCTTTGCTTCTAAGGAGCATTCTGGCTGTACTTCTTCAAAAGAAGATTTATTTGTTCTTCTGGCAGGCCATGGTATATTCAGTATTCCTCAGAACCAGAATTCAAATGCATCAGTTTATTTTCAGCCTTCCTTATTCACTGTGCAGCTTTCATATACATTTGAGGCTACTGAAAATACCCTGGCTTGGGTCAGACACACCTTAATCCTCAAAGTAACAGCTTTGCTTTTTTATACTCTTAGGAGATCTTTTGTTGTTGTTGTGTGCCGTGGAGTCAGTGCTGACCCATAGCGACCCTGAACAGGGTTTCCGAGGCTGTAAATCCTTACGGGAGCAGAACGCCTCATCTTTCTCCCGCAGAGCAGCTGGTAGTTTCGAACTGCTGACCTTAAGGTTCATAGCCCGATTCGTAACCACTACGCAGGTCGGAACCGACTCGACGGCACTTAACAACAACAACAAGGAGATCTTTTGCAGTAGATTTGCCCAGTGTAAAACATTGTTTGATTTCCTGACTGCTGCTTCCATGGACGTTGATAGTGGAGCCAAGTAAAACAATTCCATTTATCATGATGTTGCTTATTGGTCCAGTTGTGAAGATTTTTCTTTTCTTCATGTTGAGGTATAATCAATACTGAAGGCTGTAGTCTTTCATCTTCATCAATAAGTACTTCAAGTCCTCTTTACTTTCAGTAAACAAAATTGTGTCATCTACATATTGCAGATTGTCAATAAGCCTTTCTTCAATCTGATGCTTTAGTCTTCTTCATACAGGACATCCAACGCCTCAAATTATTTGCATACACGTTGATGAAAGGATACAACCCTGACACACACCATTTCTGATTTTAAAACACATAATATCCCTTTGTTCTGTCCAAATAGCTGCCTCTTGGTCTATGTAGAGGTCCCACATGAACTAAGCAATAGTTTAACTAGCAAGCATTGTCTCCCTGGAGTATTATGCTCTTTTAAGAAGTATATATACAGGGACTGATAACAGGAACTTGAAAGACCAGATAGGAAATTGAGAAGGTAGTGGATTTAAGTTAGTGGAGTAGGAACAACTCAGAAAAGGAGGGGAAAATGGTTACACAACTGGAAGGCTGGAACCAATGTTGTTAAATGGTACCTGTAGGAATTCTTAAATTGGTGTATGTCTTGCTCTGTATATTCTCCACAATAACAAGAAAATGATAGTTTTTTAAAAGTCACTAAGCATTTTCAGTGTCTATGAAGCAACTTTTCAAATGTATGTTTTTTTCTTTCCATTAGTTCAACTTATTGCCCATCATGGGTATTAATGGAATTTTCCTCTTCCTCATTTCTCACATCTGTGAAACATTTGTAAACTTGTAAAACAGCAAAGCTTCCTGCCAAGAAGATTGAAAAACAAAAAACAAAAACCCCACAGGGCATGGACAAACAGCACAAACCTTCACAGTATCTTTGTAAGACCCTGATTTACAATTGCTGTTCTTTGATAGAGAAGAAGCAACAGACTTGGGGTTAAGGGAATTGCCTGAGATTTGGTAACTTGGGCAGTCAAGGGGGCCGTGTTAATAAAAAGTGTTTTTATGTTTTCTGCTCTGGGTTCATGAACCCAAGCTTTTCCCAAACACTTGATTATGAAAAGACCTTCTTGATATAAGCTAAAACCACACCAAACCAAACCAAAACCCTCACTGCCACTGAGTTGATTGTGATTCACAGTGAGCCTGTAGGGCAGAGCAGAGCTGCTCCCTAGGTTTCTCAGACTGTAAGCCTTTACAGAAGCTGACAACCTCATCATTCTCCCTCTGAATGACTGGTAGATTTGAACCACCAATCTTAAAGTTAGCAACACGATCAGGGCTCCTTTCCACAATAAGCTAAAGCAGACACGAAATCACATATGAAAGAGGGATGTCTCAGATAGTGGGTTCATCCATCCAGCTCCCCACAGTTTCTCTGGCTAGTCTAGTCATTTGAAAACACAGCCTTTTCTTTGTCCAAGGCAATCTGTTCAGGCAGAATACTGGATGCCTGTGAGGAGGAAGAAAAGAACAAGAGTGTCTCAGAGCAGCCCGGGCTCCTCCCGCCTCATCCTCGGATAGTAGGATCGAATCTGCCTTCAGGGACTTCATTCTGTATAGTTCCCAAAAAAGGCTGACTTTTCTTAGGTGTCTTTCTGATTTAGGATGGAAAAGTCCCAAATCAGCTTTTGAGTAATAGGGACATATGTACTTGTTCTGTTAATTTCTGGGTCATTATGAGTTATAATTTGTTTGTTGTTTTCCCAGAGGGAAGTTGGCTGGAAGATACAGAAGACACTTGATTCTTAAGTCATTTGAGGGCAAATGTCATCATAGATTCATAGGTTCTTGTGTCTAGAAGGGAACTGCCTGTAATTTCAATATTTAATTGTCAGGAATAGTGTCAGTGGGACTGTCCCTATGGGGGAAGGAACTTTGCAGAAGTTTCCACTGAGAACCACCTCTTACCAGGAGGACTCCCTCCACCTTGATACAAGCAATCCATATTCCTGGTACAACTGAAAATGGTTCTGAGAAACCGTTTCCAGGGACAGTGACAAAGGCTGGCTCATTACTCGGCAGGAAGATGATCTTTTTGGTTTGAACAGCACCTATCGGAGGTAGAAAAGAAGAACACAGGGCATTTTGCTAGCTGTCAATGCTACGGTTTAGATACTGTATTTCTTATTCAGTTTACAATTGAAAAAAGATTAAGGGAGTTCCCTGGTCCATTCTATTTACTGACCTTATTTTTAAAAACCACATGTATACACACAGGTAGATGCATAAAATGACCAGAGAGATATCGGTAAGATGTTAGCAGTGGCTATTTCTGCAGGGGTTTTGAGTGAGTGATGTTTTTCATTTGTTAAATGATTAAATAGATTAGCCCACATCACTGCTGAGAAAGTGCCTGGCATGTAGTAAGTGTTGTATATATTATCGATCAAATTATTTTCTCCTTATTGTTTATCTGTAATTTAGAGGTTTTAATATTTCTTTTAAAAAACATGTATTGATTTTGTTATAAGAAACACTTGGGTTTTCTGTGTGTTTGTTTGTTTTCAGGATACAGTATGCTTCCTATTACATCAAACAGAGGAGATCTAGGACCTCCCCTGAGGCAGGAGGTATGACGTCTTTCTCTTGGTGTGTGCCTACCATCTGGCACCATGCCAGGTACACAGGCGATGCCCCAAAGCCACATCTGGTTAATATCTTTGCGATTGTTATTACCTCCCAAGCTCAAGCCTTCAGGAGCGAATGATAGGACATTCTCTCTCTCTCTCTTTTTTTTTACTTTCTATTATGACTTTAGTGAAGGCTTACAGAGCAGATCAGTTTTCCATTTAATGATTCATACATATTTTATTTCATGTCATTGATTGCAAAGCCCACAATGTAACTTCACTTATCCCACGTCTTCTCTGTGTTTTCTGTTTCCATTCCTCTCTTCTTAAAACCGTTGCTGTTAAGTGCTGTCAAGTTGGAACCAGCTCATAGTATAAGGTTTCCAAGGAGCAGTTGGCAGATTGACCTTCTGGTTCAAACTGACCTTGCGGCCCAGTGCTTTATCTCACAGCGCCACACCAGGACTTCTTAAAATTAGCATCCATCTTATGTGTTAGGGCCTTCCTCATTGCCTGTGTCAGTGGACAGCAAACTCCATGCGGGATCCCAAACCCTACCTATGCTATATGTCTTCTAGTCTGTTCGAATACAGCCTAACACGGAAGACCTTGACTCTATGATCTTTTCATCAGGCAAAGATTTCAGTAGTCTCCTGTCCCCTAGATTGGCTTTTATAAATATACAGGCCCACCTCCCTTTTCTACAGACAATTCAGAAACAAATAAAACAGTTGCATCTGAATTCAACTGTAACTTTTTTTCTTTTTTTGGAAGAAATACATGTGACAAATCCTTGCTTTCACTCTTCTGTTCAACAAGTATCTTTGGGATACACATTAAGTGGCAGGTATGAAGCTAGGGTCTTGGAGGCATGGCAGTGAACAAGGCAGAGTGGCCTTTATTGGCTGATGGTGGAGGCAGGGCTGGTCAGGGACAGAGATCGGAACTCAGGGGCCTATGGTAGAGTATGAACACAGCGACTGAGTCAGTTCTGACTCATAGTAACCCTACAAAGGGTTTCCGAGGAGTGGCTGGTGGTTTTGTACCTTCAGCCTTTCAGTTAGCAGTCCAGTGCTTATCCTACAGCACCACACCAGGAGCCCACAGTACCATTTAGGAGGAAGCTGAGAGAGCGTAGTGGCTCTGAAGGATAAGCACTGAGCTGCAAAACTCAAGGTTGGTGATTTGAACCTACTAGCCGCTCCAATGAAGAAAGATGAAGCTTTCTGCCCCCACAGAGATTTGTAATCTTGGAAACCCTATACAAGGTTGGTATGAATCAGAACAGACTCAATGACCCTAAACGGCAATATAGGTTACTATGGGAATAGATAACAGCAGCTCCTGGCACCATCTTGGGGATGTAGGAAAGGTGATCCAGGGAATGAGAAAACAAATCTGAATGTGGATTAACAGAGGGAAAACCGCTGGTACCACTACCACATAGGAGGAAGTGGGCATCTGGAGACATGGACGCAGGCAATTTCAGTTCTGTTTCCTCTTCAACCTTCTTCAGTTCACAAAGTTCTAATGAGACTCATCTGAGGATATGGGTGCTAAACGATTCTAAATGATAAAACAAATCTGGTAGCTCTTCTATTGGTTACGAGTTCATCAGCCTCCAACTACACACCCCTTGGGAACATCTGCTACAGATGCTAATCAGCAAAAGCACTTAAATCTGTCCTTAAATCATTGATTATTGTGTATCTTTGGATTCCCAATGCTTCCCAGAGCCTGTTTCCAGGACTGATGGAAGCACTAATTCCTTGGTCTTGTCTCTGATTATGATCGGGTTGTTCTCTTCTACTGTGCTCCGTCCTCCAATGCTGAATAAAGATTATACAGCCTATCTGGAGTACTCTTCAGCTTCATGCTTTTCAGCATTCATCTAAGAATTCCTACAAATACTAGTTGCTATTGAGTCTAGCCTGACTTGCGGTGACTCCATGTGTGTCAGAGTGGATATGCACTCCAAGGGTTTTCAGTGGCTGATTTTTCAGAAGTAGATCACCAGGTGTTTATTCTGAGGCAGCTCTACTGAACTCCAATCTTCAACCTTTCAGTTCGCAGCTAAGCTCATTAACTATCTACCCCATCCGAGAACTCACAGCATTCCCCATCCCCAACCCATTCCTCCTTGAACTTTGTGATTTACTTGAAAAAAATGTGAGAAGTTAGGGAAGTAATCGAATGTCTCTCTGTCTCTCAAGCAACATCACAAAGATGACACCTACTTCACATGAAAACCCTCCAAACCAGTCAATTCCAATTCATATTGTTGTTGTTGTTGGGTGCCCTGGAGCAGGCTCTGACTCACAGCAACACTACACACAACAGAATGAGACACTGCCCAGTCCTGTGCCACCCTCAAAACTGTTGTTATGTTTGAGCCCAGTGTAGCAGCCACTGGATCTAGCCATCTTGTGAGGGCCCTCCATTATTTTGTCGACCCTCCACTTTACTCTAGGGACTGATACATCTTGACAGCATGTCCAAAGAACAAGAAATGAAGTCTCATCATCCTTGCTTCTAAGAAGCAAGCAGCCTGGCTGTACTTCATCCAAGACAGATTTTTGTTTGTTTGTTTGTTCTTTTAATAGTCTTCATCAACACCATAATTCAAATGTATCAATTCTTCTACAGTCTTCCATAGTCACCGTCCAACTTTCACATGCATAGGAGACAACTGAAAAGACCATGGCTTGGGTCTGGTGTACCTCAAACTGACGTTTTTGCTCTTTAATGCTTTAAACAGGTCTTTTGCAGCATAATTGCCTAATGCAATATGTTATTTGATTTCTTGCTGTTGTTTAGTGGTCTAGTTGTGAGAATTTTCTTTTTCTTTATTTGAGGTGCAATCCAAACTGAAGGTTCTACCCTTTGATCTTCATCAGTATGTATTTCAGTTTCTCTTCATTTGATAAATGACAGTTAACGATAAATTTAATGTTGTTAAGTGCCATTTAGTTGGTTCTGACTCATAGCGACCCTGTATAGGGTTTCTGAGGCTGCAAATCTTCACAGGAGCAGAAAGCCTATTTTTTTCCTAAGAAGCAGAGAGTGGGTTTGAACTGATGACCCTGCAGTTAGAAGTCCAGTGCTTATCCTACAGAGCCATCAGGGCTTACTTCGTGTGAATAAGTTATAAATTAGCTTTTCTCTTAGGATGCAGGGGTGCACCCATGGGGTGCAGCCAAGGTACACTGCTTGTTATATTGGTATTTTAAGTGGCAGTTAATGACACATTTAATGTTGTTGTTAAGTGTAGTCCCTATATAGAGTTTCTGAGGAGTGGCTGGTGGGTTTGAACCACCAACACGGTGGTTAGCAGTCCAGTGCTTATTGTACAGTGCCGCACCAGGACTCCGGTAAATTTAATAGTGTGATATAAAGAAGCAGAACACTTAGAGCATGAAAAACAACAAAGGATAGGACACGTACAGAAATGTTCTAATGAAATAAACTTAGTATTTTCTGAAGGTTGACAGATTTCTGAGAATTGATCATTTCTTAATTGAAAAGGTGCTTGAAAATTTACCTACCTGCCTTCGACCGGGATGGATATAGAGTTATACGGCCAAATACAGTGTCAATTCCAGGGTTAACGTATCTCAAAATAACACGAAATGAGGAGAGGTTTGGCTTCTCCATATTCAACATTATCTTTACTTCGTTCTGAAAAATACAAAAAAGTCATAAAGGATAAAAGAGACAACTGGATTTTTAAAATGCTAGCCAAATAATGACTTCATTCTATTCAAGTTTCTTTAATGGACTTGCAGAACACACACACACAAATACCCATATATTCATTCACAGCCACTCAACAATCACACAAGTAACCAACTTTATATAAAGGTGGAAACAAGTGAGCCTAGTCATGAATTAAAATCCCTTACAATTGTAGTTACAATGGAAATGAACTCCCTCAGCCACTGAGACACTCATTTGCCCTTTTTGTGACAGGTATGCAGAGCAGAGTACTAGGTGGACTAGTTTAAGGAAAGCCACGGTGACAGGAACAACCACCACTGGCTGGGGAAAATTAAAAGGCAGGAAAAAGGAAAGGCAAGGGCAATGTTTGCCCCAGCATGGTCTCCCCAGCATCCACTTCACACACCCAGCATTCTGAAGGTCATGGAAACCCACGGTGCCTAAAGAAAGGCTGGAGATCCCAAGCACCTTAGCGGTAAAATCTGGGTGCAACAAAAGCAGGCCTCTTGAGTCTTAGGAACTTTTATCTCCACCCCTTATCCAAGGAAGATGTGGATGGGGTTCGTCTCCAAGCCCCTGACATTCACACAACAGACTGTGAGCATTCCACAGCCCGTGATCTTAAAGGAATGAGTATCAAAATCCAACAAGTTGTCGTTGAGTCAAGTCTGACTCGTGTTGACTCCATTGTGTCAGAGTAGAACTATGCTCCACAGGGATTTCAGGGACTGATTTTTTTAGAATTAGATCACCAGGTCTTTCTTCCATGGTGTCTCTGAGTGGACTCAGACCTCCAAACATTTGGTTAGAAGTCAAGCACATTAAGCACTTATTTCACCTGGGGATTCTGAAGGAAAGGATAACCTGTTTACATTCTGAACCACACACATGTCCAGATACTGTTGTGACCCAGGGGAAGTGCATGAACTTTGGAGATGCCCAAATCAGGGGCTCTTTTGGTCTCTTTCCTAGCTCCCTTGGTTAAAATCAAGAGCACATTTGTTGAATAAGGCATATGTGACAATAAAGGCTGATTTGGGGTAGGATCACTTGGTCTAGGTGCACAAAATGCAGGTGACGTAGAAGAGGAAGCCCAGGTGTCACTCTTGATTTGACTCAAGTCAGAAAGTCAAATGCAAAGATGAATTTATTGTTGTTGTTAAGTGCCGTCAAGTCGGTTCCGACCCATAGCGACCCTGAACAGGGTTTCTGAGGCTGTAAATCTTTACAGGAGCAGGAAACCTCATCTTTCTCCCACAGAGCAGCTGGTAGTTTCGAACTGCTGACCTTGCGGTTCGCAGCCCTATTCGTAACCACTTTAAATCACCACTTTGCTCTGCTCCTAATACATGCCACCATGACCTCAGAGTCCTGGTATAGTGCTGTAGGATAAACACTAGACCACAGGTCAGTTTGAATTATAACGTCGGCAGCTCAAAATCACCAGCCACTCCTCGGAAACCCAATACAGGGTCACTATGAGTCAGAACCTAGTGCATGGCACTTCATAACAACAACAAGGCCCTCCAACCATAACCACTTTCACAGAAAATCAATCGTTAAAAACCCATTCCTTTTATTTTCTGCTTTTCCCATAAGGTTGTAGGTTCTTTGAGGAAAGGGGAAATTTCAGATATTTTGGTCTTGTTTTCACTGGAGTGCTCAATAAATAAACACTTATTTATAAACAAAAAAATGTATTCCTTTGTGTCAACCAGCTCTTCCAAAGTGTAAATCCATGAGCTCTCTGTCCTTCACAGCCTATTTGATTCAGTGCAATCTGCTGCTTTTTTATGAATACTTAAGATCAGAGATATACTCAAGACACTGAATGACTGTGTTGTTGTTGTTGTTGTTGTT